AAAATATACTGTAATATTGACATGTTCAGGCAGACTTTGTTAAAACAGTCCAAATCTATATACATAATATATTATGTGTAATGAAAACAAAATGCTTTCTATTCAATGTTTAGTTTTTAATTTTTTTTCATCTGAGCTGTAACCTAAGTTCCTCAAGTCTTTTTCAAAATTAAATCCCTGGCGTGGCTCAAAATATAACCAAAATCAGCATGGTGTTACTACCTTTTTTTCTTCACAGTAAGAAACAGACATTAATACATCAGTCACGTAAACAGTTGTTGGTCCGGTACCTCAGGACTCTGCTCAGTTGTCTGTGTGGAGCACGGGGAACTCCATGTGTCATTGTTAGCAAATCATTTAGCTTTAGCTGCATGTAATGTGTCTTTCAGCACATGGAGAGCAGTGGAGGTCAGTGTGCCGGATGCCGGTTCCGAGATGAGGAAAGCTTGGCCCACTACTCTCCGTGGTCTTGTGGGACCGCCGGGCCCTGCCTGAGTCCCTTTGAGCCCGAAGCTCTGACACACACAGCAGCTCACTCCTGCTCGGAGCGTCCGGGAAAGCTCCTCACACGGCTGAAGGTGGCACCAACTCTCCTGTGTTCTATGAAAAAAAMCATCCGTTTGCTTTGATTAATGGCCCCGATGCGGTTCTCATGCAGGAGCTGGACGGTCCCGAAGGAGAAGCGGGAGGCAGGAAGCAGTGGCTGCAAACGCTGGATCCCTACAGACGTTTGAAGGACGAGGATCCGATCATTCCCTTTAGCGAAGCGCCTATTATCTCAAAGTGGGGCGCCATTTCCAGGGCGGCCCGCACCGGGTACCACACCACCGATCCCATCCAAGCCACAGCCTGCCAGGGCAGCGCCAGCACCACACCCATCAACTTTAAAGGTTGGAGGGATAATTCAAATTAAAAGAAAGTTGTAAAATGAAAATGTAGAGTTTACTATTTTTATATAAAGACACTTTGAAATATCCTGCATAAAGAAAACATCTAAAATCTCCTGAACCCCACGCCCCCAATTCCAGGTTCAAAATTTCGGGGTCTTTTAAACATACACACATTTTCTTTCCACAGAATCTTGACTAAAAGCTCATAAAAACATTATTTCATCCACCAAAGGCAGTTAAAACCATAAAGAGTTTAATCAGAAATAAAACTAATTATACAAAATGCAGGGGAGCAGCTAGACTATTTTGTGAGGGGTGGCACAGAGGTGGCCAAGGTGGGGGGGACACATACAAATAAAGAAAACTACCTTGCTACTAGTTAAATTTAAATGGCTATAATTCAGCCAGTTTAAGACTAATTGGGCTAAAAATTTTTGTGGTGTAGCCAAAAAATGATTGCTTGTCCCAATTTAAGCTAACTGCTAATGCTAATTTTCTTTGCACAAGTAATGCACACATGTGAATTTATGGTTTTCAAGAGGTTTTAGTCTAATTTATTATACTTTGAAAATGTTTATATGTTGTCTAATGCAAAAAAAAAAAAAAACTTAAGGCAAGAGGGGAAAAATGTTGTTTTTTTTCTGTTCCATCCTCACTATCTCAAACAAAACAACAACAGCATCTGCTTTGATACACTTCTGGTGAGCTATCCCAAGTGTTACCTTTTTTTAATACCAAGATTATTTAATAGAGTGTGTAAATGCTGAGATACACTGATTTACATGTGGGCACATTATTTTAAGCAAAAACTTAAAAAAACACTTGGGGCTGAAGAGGTTAGCACAATATAGCACATTTTCTTACTTTTATAAACATTTACGTCAATTTTATTGAATCATATTTTTGTGTTTTTACTCTGAATGCATAAAAAACTATGTTTTGTGTAATCAGTAAAGTCTTTATCTTTGCATGTGACTTTTTCCCATCATTATCTGACAGATTACAACCATCATTTGGATCACGGTGACTACAGGTGGAGCTCCAGAGGATCTGACTCCTCCAGTCAATCCAGTTTCTATGAGAGGTGAGACATTAACAGTTCTTAATTAGTTGAATTTAAATATGTTTTTAGGAGCTTTGCATGTCACTAAAGCAGGAGTGTCAAACTCATTTTCACTGAGGGCCACATGAGCGATGTAGTTGTTTAATTTCAACGTTTCATGTTTAACTTTGACTAAAAAAATTGTCGTGTTCCTGACCTCATTGCTATGACTGAGCACTGCTAACAAACAGCTGAGCTCTATGTAGTATTTCCTGCATAGAAACATTGTTCTAACACGTCCTCTTATAAACTCTGAAAAGTACTATATAAATGATTGACTAAATGTGAAAAAAATAATACAGAAATACTATTAAAAGTAAAAGTGAGAGAGTTTTACTCAGTGTTGAGTTGTGGCAGATGTGAACTCACCCACTTTCCAAAAGGGAATTCCCATGCATAATCAACATGCATTATGGGAGATGTAGTTCATGGTCAATACTGGCTTTAAAGCAGGTTATTTGGAGACATTAATGCAGGGCTGTTCAACTAAATTACTCAGGGGACCACAGTCACTCAAAGCCAAATGTTCAGGGGCAGGACATGCATTGTTATCCTTCACATTTTAAACATGTTTATTTTGTTGTGTTGAATCATAAGCTCAAAGTTTACTACCGATATGAAAAATGTATATTTTCATTTTTAATTAAGCAAAAAAAGTATTTATGTTGTTCTTTTGGGGGTCCGTATGGAAGTCACCCTCATTTGGCCCGCGGGCCTTGAATTTGACACATATGCTCTAAATAATTAAATATTTTTTTACAGAACTTTAAAAAGTATGGAATTAGAAACAATGTTTTGTGCAGTTTTACATAATTGATTGGATCATTTATCCCCCTTYTTCTCCCGTCTTTAAATTAAGACTAAAATTAGAGTCAGTTTAATTAGCTTCTCCAAACCTCACTGCTGTCACATATATTGTTCCAAATATGAAAATAAAGGAATCATTGTCTGTGTTTCAGTGAGCATCTTTGTGCGTCGGAGCTGGACGGCTGTCGGACTTCCATAAGCGGCGAAGAAAAACCCGGATCTGAGCTGCAAACTCGTCAGAGCGCCTACAGCCAGGACCAGAACCAGGCTGAGAGAGAGCCGGACACGGATCGAGACATTGAGCTTGACCTGCGGGTTTTAGACATGGAGGATTCACACACCTGTGAGCTCAAGTCTCAGGTCTGTCCAAGTTGTTTTTTGTGTGGCGGTGAGAATCTGACAACTCAACAGTTCAGCATGAAGACACATTAATCTGTTTTTATACTTCAGTCTGAACAAAAAACACCTACGGATGAAAAGTGTTTTAGCATCTAGATAAAAGCCTTGGGGGAAATACATTTCATGTGTCTTTGGTTGAAATACACCTCAAATACAGCCCATTGAATTTGAACCATCATCCCTTTTTTTGCCTTCTAGGAGTCTTTAGATCTGCCCAGCCCACCATCTCAGGACGCCTCCCACCTCCTCCCTCCCTGCTCATCTCCCCTCCGCTCCTCCCCTGTAGAGGAGCACCTCCAGACCAAAGGACTCATCACAGAGAAGATGGATGCTCACCTGCTGAAAAAGATGGCTTTCAGGTGAATCAGCATCTCGTTTCGCAGGAATCATCCTGAATTTGTCTTTTTCAAGAAATCGATCAACAAACATTCGTTCCATTGCAACTTCTTAATCCTCCATTTCCCCACCTTTCTTTCCTTCCTTTCAATTCTCATTTTATTTTATTTTGATAACAGGAAGTCTCTGTCTCCAGTAGGGCTGACGTCAGGAGGTCTGGGCATCAGGAAGCTGGTGCTGCAAACCGGACCTCCTCGACTGGGCGACACTTCAACCAGAGCTTGTCCTGAGACRCCCGGGACAGAGATGTTGCTCAACGAAAGCTGAAACGTCACAAAGCCGGACTCACGCTGAGCTCAGATCTCCCGAGCAGATCGTGGTAAAAGGGAATACCACTCAACTCCAGCCTTAATAAATGTCAAATGCCTGAATAAAACCGGACAGTTGGAGGCTAGCAGTGTGTAAAATCACACTGTACCACCTGAAAGCGGTGGTTTTTATGAAGGAATTATTGCTGATCTTGTTCAGGTTTGCAGTTTATTTTATTTTATTTTTCAACTTGGTTGCATTTAAGAGCAGAGTTAGAGAGACAGGTTATTTTTCAACACCTGATTGGCCACTTAGGAGAACCTTTCACATACAGTGAGCTGCTTAAGAGCTAGAGCCTGTTGCTAACAATATAAAAAGTGTTTTTCACTTTAACTGAATGTACTCGCAGGATTATATTGATGCTATATTTTCCTTCTGATACATAATCATAAGTATCAACAAATCTAAGCAATTCATTTATCCCAGGCGTGAAATTATGTTACTTTAAAGATATGTGGTTTACAGTAAAATGTTCGTTTGTTTACATCAATGCTACACATACAACCYTTCCATCCTTTTTTTTCTGTGTATAGCTTTTTTTTTTGGCTTGTGCCTTTCCATAAAAGCAGACACTGATTTGAATTAAGGCCCTATTTAGAGGGTTTGTTAAACAAAACATAATTATATTTTTAAAAACTGCTTCATTTCTTTTAGCATCACTTCAGATTGTGAAGTATGTTRAAGTAAGTTTGTTGCATTTGTTGCAAATTTTGCGCATCAGAAATATTTCATTTTTCAAGCAGCCTTTTTGTAWAACTGGTTATTTTGGTCTTTTTTGTTTCAAACCAACAGAAAAGAACCAATACTGTACCACATTTAGGTGTTTCTTTTTATTTGACAGCATCCCATCTTTCACAGAATTGGGGCTGATTACCTCATTTAAAGCTTAATGTTCCGACAGTTTGCAGATTCACAATCAGTCAACAAAAACATGCAACACAGTGGCCTTTCTSTCCTTAACCTTTCACAAAACAAACTCCCAACTCTGTGAAATCCCGTTAGAAATGCATTCTCAGAAGATGTGAACACTGGGGATGACATTTTTCTATGTATGCTTTTCATGTTTATGTGCAATATCTGCAAATGTGCTTGAAAATGTTTCTTTCTTTGCAAAATGTTTTCAAAGTTTTTTTATTAGGATTATTTTTTATTTGAAGCTAAGCTAACTTCCGTGAAGTTGTTTGTTGACATATTTTGTATCAGGATTGGTTGTTTCTTCTGTTTGCTTTGTTTGAAACCAAACTGACAGTGTCTGCTGCAGGTCCGTGTAAAATCATCAGAACTCTGTGAGCCACAAGTCTGCTAGTTTACATATATATATATATATATAAAATAATTTACATCCAGCCCCGAGGTGCCTCTTCTGTTTTTATAGTCGTAAAGAGACATCTTACCTTCAGATTATTTACTAAACAGCACAGAGGCATGATTCCATCTTCGATAAACAGGACGTAAAGTCGATAAATCTCAGGTTGGTTTTCTCCTGGGTGGTGATTTCTGTGGAATGAGATGGAAAAGTGCCAGCTCATGGGAAAAATGGCCGCAGTGAAAAAGAGAAGCTTGCGGYGACTTTCGCTCTTTCCTGCAAAGTGTCGGGGTTGTTAGCGAGGCAAGGGCTGATTAGAGCTGCGACGGATCATTAAGTTACCTGCTGCTTTCTATTTCCAGCTTCGTCACTGAAGTTAAAGTGCCATGTTGTGTACAGTACAATCAACGCCTACAGCTTTGTCTAGTCCTGGCACGGCGGGCTGTGAGGAGGGGAGGAAGAAACCTGAGGGAGATACGTTTGTGGGAATCGCTCAGGGAAGACTTCATTCTCTTTGGTTTTTCTCAGTGCATATATAAAACATATATAGGTATATTATTTGCTGGTGTTTACTTTTGYTGGTGTTTCTTTCCGTATCAATATTGGCTTTGCTGTCATGAAAAAGGGCTGGGCACATGTTGAAGTTATCGTGAGTATGAAGTGGGTCGTTCCTTTTCTTCTTTAAGTGTATCTATGGAGCGCTGCTGTAGTGGCTAATTGCACTGAAACTTATTCCCACCACCTTCACTGCCAGCGAGAGAGACCCCCCCCACCATTTCCTGCGACATGCATGCAATATAGTCCCCTCTTGTGATTGCAGAGGAGTAATGATGATTCTGTAGTTGTGATACAACGCACCCAGCGCTGTAAGAGTTCTCCACTGTGTGGCCACGTCAAGTGCTGAAGAAGTTTGCTTGCAGCGTTTTAATTGCTTGCTCATGAAATTTCATTGATTATTACGGATGATGTTGTTACTACTGTTAGAACCACATTTGGTTGTTGTGACACATTTTCTTTTCCTTGGTGCGGGTCTGCTTCTTTGTTTTGGATTTGAAGAGTTTTGCCTTTTTATTATTATTTTTAAATCAACAAAGTGTTTCTTTAATCTATATTATATGGAGAAAATTAATCAAAGAAGCTTGTTTGTTGATTGTGACACTTATGATGATACGTTTTCTGAGTATTCATGTCTGTATTAGACAGTTTATTTGCTAATCTATTGTTCGATTGAAATGTAAATGACTTTTTTTAAAGAGATGGTACACATCCGTCATTGTACACAGTCTGGCACCATCATTAGATGGACTTATAGTATTAACGCTCATTTCTACAGCCTGTGATAATCAGATATATTTAAATGTTAAAAAAATAATAATAAAATAAAACCATTGGGGCAGTTGTGTAATGTCTCAGATCAAGGAACAACTCAATCCTTTGGAGAGACCATCTTAAAATGTCCCCAAAAAATGAATAATACTGTTATGTATTCAATTTATTTCCTTGGAAATATCACATTGTGAAAGGTTTCCCTTTTACTTACTGTATTTGTAATGCAGATGTGGAGTAAAGTTGAACCTATGGTGATGATTTATATGCTGTTAATAATAGACGAAGCAGTTTGAGTTTCATTTTACTGACTGATTGATTCTTCTTTGCGTTTTCTGGCCTGTTCAGCAGTTTTACACGGAGCTGCAGGCCAGCCGAGCAGGAAGCCACTGCTGTGTTGCAATGAGAGGAATAAAACGCGAAACTGCCGTAGATGAAACTGCATGCTATAATAAACTGAGAATTGTAGTGCTGCTTTGTGTTTCTTGTCTTTTTTAAATTAATAAATAAATGATTTTAAAACTCGAAGCCTGTACACAAT